TCTAATAAATATGACCTTACCTCTACCTCATTTGCAGCAGGCTCCCTCAAGAATCTTCCTATCAAAGTGGATGTTAAAGGTTACAACGTCCATCTTCTAGAGGACCTGCCACTACCAGAACCTCAATCTCTCCACAAAATCAGTCTGGAAGAAACTTCCTCAGGGCCTATAGGTGATACTAACAAATACCCAGTGCACAAGGAGACAGAGACAGCAGCTGAAACTACCAGCATGCCTTTCATGGATCTCACTCATGTGATGAGTTTCTGGCAACTCCCACAAGGTGACAACCAGAGCACTACTGGGGATATCGCAATGGCATTTGGTCCAGAGGAACCATCACAGAGGCTGAACGGCCTCAGCCAACAGCAAGGTCTACAGCTAGCAACTGGTGGCATGGCCATAAACCAGCTGCATCATCTTCCTCGCTCTTTTCCATCCACTACAAATTCTGTAACGTTGCCTCATTTTCATCATGCCTTCAAATAACTATGCTTTTTTTTTCTTAAAAAAAAAAAGACTGTGCTTCTTACTTAAATCTGTTAGGAAGGGTATTTTTTGTTTTTCTTCTTTTCTGTTTCAAGAAAAACTGTCCCAATTTTTTTTTTTTTTTTTTTTTAAAGCATGTTATGGACATGGTAGTTCAATTCAGAATGTTAATAAACAAGAAGCTCTATTTTTCATACTATTATTAATTTTTAGCATATGACAATAGTAGGACTAACATACTTCTTTCAGTACCCTTGATATTCTTGTTTCTTACCTTTTAAACAAACAGCTTAATGTCTTCAGCAATAGCAAAGCCTCGTAATAGGCACAATGAAACTATGGCTGCCACAATAGGAGAAATAGGGTTAGGGTAAATGGGAAGGAGGAGGAAAGAACAGAAGAATAATTTTAATGAGCCAAAAATCACAGGAAATGTAAACTTAAGGTGAATAATTTATCAGTGTGATACAGATTTCTTCTAAGCATTTACTTAATTACCAAATTTTATGAATCTTTAAATCAAAATGATTCCAAGAATAAATCTTATCTTCTAGTTCCACTCTTTTAAAACAAAGAAAATCACTGTTGTGATTACACCTAAGTAGACTTCTTTATTTTCTCCTAAAGTGCACTTTGGCTTTGTGCATCTCCTGCATTTTTCCCAGGGCTGGAAATAACTACCACTGCTGCATGGTTACACCAAAGCAGATGTCTTCTATAGATGTAGTTTTCAGAACGGGAGATGAATTGTCCTAAAGATTGGAGATTGCACAGGGGAGCCTCCAGCCAAGGTCTGCCTTCAGTGAGGCTGTGGTAGGTCCCCATGCAGAAGAGCTTGTGGTGGTTACCTCAGGATGGGCCTCTTCAAAACAATGGGTTGTGAACCTGTCTCAAAATGGCATAGGAAATCAGCAAGTGTGATAATGGTTAGATGATCTTCATCCTGTGCTTTTTGCTGAGTGGTATTTTGGTAGTTTCACCCAAATCAGAACCAGAACTTACGTTTGCTTCCTATAGTAAACTGCTGTATGTTTCCAGCTGATGTAGGTGTTACAGCCCTGTCCCACGACCAACTAGCAGAAATTGCAAAAAAATCAAATCTCCTAGTAGATAACATTTAAACAAACAAACAACTTCAGGATTTACTTGCTGCCTTGCATAACCCATTCTTAAAAAAAAAACAGAACACCATTTTAGCATATCATGCCATTACCAGTGGGTTCTGTCACAGCTGAAACAGATGCAGAGTTTCTGAATCAGAATATGCAATCTCTTCTACTAAATTCACTTAGAATTAATAGTACCTAATGATAATTACAGATACACCATGAAGCAAGCTTGTTCTCTTCTCCCTTGGTAATCACAGAACTATTTCCAGGCAACTTCAAATAAAAGACAATATTTGTGAATCACTGATTGCTGTTTCGCTGTTAATGAACTGTAATTATGTGAATATTTTTACAAGTTCATCATTATTTGGATTAAGGGAAGGTGGGATTATTGGGCTTTGTGCAGAAATATGTTCTTCAGATACACTGGAGAAGTTTTCTTATTTTTAAAAGTCTTGGCATAGGGCAAAACAAAATAAATTCTAAGATCATCATAGCAGGGATAGCAGTAGGAAGAATAGGTTCAAGTCCAGTTAGCAGTTGTTCAAATTACAGTTTAGTGAAGAGTGAAAAGGTTGGAAACAGTGTTACATGCACATTTTACAGCTCGTAATTCTGCTCAGACTTGGAAAGGTACGCGTGTACCTGTTTACTGCATTGCTTTCCTTGTTCGTGCAAATTGCATTCACGTGGCTGCATTCAAGCTTATGCACTTGTAAACAAAAAAAAAGAAACAACCCCAGACGACACATTCATGTACATGCCTGATCATATATGATTAGCAGACGCTTTGGATTGTGCTTTTCTAAGAGGTTTGATACGTTATGAAATACTCGTCTTTGAATTAAAATAAGACGTTAAGAAGGAAACGCTGCAGTGTTTCTCAACAGCCACACTGTGAGCTACTTGCTGCAATGGGAGCAGAGCTCTGGGCTGCCAAGAGACATGCTGGGCCCTGGTCGCAGTCTCTTATGAAACACTGAGGTACGTTAGTGAGAGATGCTGGTCATACTGAACTGCGAGTTAAAGGCCAAGTCTCAGTCAAGTAAAAAGGGCTTGGGTTGGAAGGGGCCTCGAAGATCATCTACTTCCAAGTGCTCTGCCATGGGCAGGGCTGCCACCTCCTACATCGGGCGAGATCAGGCTGCCAGGGGAGAACAACCAGTTTTGCATTAAAACTCATAAAAGGCACACTGCAACGTCGACAAGTAAAACACAGCACACTGTGGTGGCACCTGCAAGTAAAACACAGAAGCAGACCTTAAATAGGTGCTGCTGCTGCTTTAACTCTCCAGTCTATTCAAAATAGCTTTTCTAGATTCTTGACATCGTAAATATAGACAGAGCTCAGCAGCAGTCCATATATAGTATGTGGTAGAAATACCCTAGTACAACACAAATGAAAAGAAAGAACTATTTTTGCCTGCAGATAAGCTGTCACCACTTCATTGCAAGATCTTATTTATGCGTTACAAAATATTAAGTCTGCATAGCACGCAGCTTCTATGCTGACATGAAAATGCACAAGTCAAACATATCTGTGCTTAATTCTGCACAGCTCTGGGTACATATTACATGCTATTCATACACCTCTTCCCTAAACCAGGATAACCCTGGTTTATTTTACATCCCATTGCCATCATTGTCATCTTGTGCTTGCCTGCAGCGCTGCATGCTCCACACATGGGCGTGCTCATTATGAGCTCAGCAAAGCTGTGTGGCTGAAGCCCACAGAATGCAGCCATGTGCTCCAGCTCACAAGGCACAGAGCATATAGCATCTTGGTCTTATTTCTCTCCTTAAAAGCCATCACATTCTGTGCACAGTTTGGAAGAAAAGGTTTGGGACACACAGCCCTGTAGAGCTCTGATAGAGCAGGGAGATCCCACCCAGGTCTGGCACTGATCCTCTGCAATACCTCAGGGTATTTTACCTCACGTTATATTAGACATGAAAACAGTCTGTCTATCCATCTGAACTCTGCTTGGACACGTTTGCTGCTAAACAACAGAATTCCTGTAATCAAGAGAGGCTGTGAAATTGAGAAACTCGATGAACATCTGCTCTCATAGAGAAAAAGCACTCGTTTGAAAGTGAGAAGATGGAAGCCACGTGAACCTGCTGAGATAACACTGAAGAGTAAGCATTAGAGTTGGCGGAACAAAAGAATCTTCAACTTATGTATCTTCAACACACAACTGTTTCTGGTGTTCATATCCCAGCCCATACTGGGGAACACATTCATTACTTTTTAACTCTGCTTTTATTTCTAAGTTGGTCCTGTTCAGGCTCTCATTTTCTTAACCCGTGAGTTTTTACAGACAGTCCAAAATGGGACAGCAAGTTTCATATATTGATGATTGCGTGATAAATTTGCTATTAGCAGAGTCTGTAAGCACTGTTCTTCAGTACAGTGTTCTCACCCCTAAAGTTCAGCGTTCTCTAAGATGCTCAAAAGTGATCTGTGGAATCAATGCCAAAAACTTCTGAACACACCCAGGAGAAAATGAAGAGGGACTAAAAAGGGCAAAGGAGCACTGCTTTAATACACCTGGGCTCACTTTGAGCCTGTTGTGTGTTTAAGACCATCTAGCTAAGGAAGTTGCACTTGTTTCAGTCTCATCTTTTTTATAGCTACCTATCATACTAGCTAGAGGGTAAGGTCTCATATTTATTACTGCTGTGTCCAGCTGCTTTTCATTTTCCTTAAAAGCATCTAATAAACAAGAAAACTGCTCATGATTTTTAACTGAAAGCATTATTGGAAATTGGCAAAAAAAACCCCACAAAACAAAACAAACAAACACAAAAAAAACCCAACCCACACTACCACCACCAAGCAAGGTGGTTTAAGACTGCTAATGAATAAGGTGGCCAAAACATGTGCCTCCACCATCCTTCTGGCTTAGTAATCAGTTTCTAATAGCAATTGAATTTTTTAAGGGAGAGTGAGATTTGGTTTTAGTTTGAGCTTGGAGTGCTTTAAGCTGATGTACCACATACACTGCCATCTGTTGCTTAGTTATCACTAACATTCATCATGTGTTGCTTACTGGAAGATTCAATTAAATAACATATAAAGAGCTTCAAATTGTTCATTTTGTTCTATATGCCAATGCAAAGTAATGCAGAAACAATCCCATGGCACAGGACCTTCCTACATTTTGTCGAAAGCATCACAGAACCATAGGGGTTCAAAGGGTGCTCTGGAGATGACCGAGTCCCACCTCCTGCTAAGGTTCCTGAGAGCATGTTACACAGGAAAGCATCCAGGTGGGTCTGGAACATCTCCAGAGGAGGCGACTCCACAGTCTCTGTGGACAGCCTGATGCTGTGCTCCATCACCCTCACAGGAAAAAAAGTCCTTTCAGATTGAATGGACCACAACCTTTCAGGTGATGATTTAATTAGATTTTGGCAACTCATACGGATGATCTCACAGCTTTAAAAAGGACAACCTAAAAGCTTTATGGCCAAGGGAAAAATAAAGAAGACAGAGAACTTCCATTATTATTCTTATTTTTAATTGGAGATGGTACCCGTGGTATTATTACCACTGCATCAAAACAGACTGAGCTGCAGCACTTGGGGTAGAAGGAGGTGCTGGAGGATCACACAGTTAAGGCCCATAGAGCTTCTGCAAAACACCTTAATGTGTCCCTGGCAGGCAGCCACTCTATCTTCTGGTCTGTGTCTGCTGTCTGAAAGCAGCAACAAGCCACATACTGGTTATTTACACTGAAACACGTAACTCCCTTTTAGCTAAGATGATTAAATCAAAGCAATAATATAAAAAGGCTTACTTTTAAGTATTATCTTGGAGGGCTGATTCCCTTCAATATCTTGTGTAAACATTTGGCATTTAAGTTTTTATGAACAACACAACGTTACTCCCTCCAGAGGTTTTCTTGCCTCTTCTCAGGTGTTTGTTGCACTTTTTATTTTCACAAAACCATCACACAAAGGTTAAACTCGTAATGTTTTTAAGTGAGTGAAGTCAACTTTAGGAAACAGAATTTTTCAGTTAGCTCAAGGACAATCTGTAAGTGTTACACAGGTCAAGGAACTGCTTGCTTTTGTCATTACCTTTTAGATTAAATCATCCTTAGAGAGATTTGCAGCTCCTTCAGCCATTTTTCTGATACCTCCTTCCTCAGTACTGAAATCATACTCAGAATCTGCCACCTGATAGCAAGGAGGCCAGGGGACTTCCTAACCTCTGCTTTGCTGATTAGTCCACCCATCTCCTGTTCCGTCCAGCCTGCACGTAGGCTGCACTGTCCACAGTCTGGATGGTGCTTGGACTCAGTCATGATGCTACAGAAAGATGCCTTCTCCCCAGGCCTTTCAGCCCAGAGGGTCAGAGCTAAGCCCTGAAAATGGTGGTATGATCAACAGATGTCTGTTGATGGTCTGTGAGCCCTGCATGGTAACCCTAAGAGTTCATACACTGTTCATATAGGAACTCTGTGTAGAGTGCAGGAGAGCACGAGACTTGCTAAAGATGTCTGTAGAAATAAAATAAAAAATTTAAAAAAGAAGAGTATTCCTTACCCAAATTGTCCAGCAGATTTTTTTACAGGAGACACTCCCAAAGGTTTTCTGCTTTTTTGCAGTGTTTCCTGAGGAGTCTCTGCAGATAATTATTTGAAATGTTATTGGGCATAAAAAATTCTAACGTATGTGAACCTAAACTCCAGAAATGTAAAGATAGAAGATACTGATATACACACATACATCAAACTGCACTGATATACAAATAATAATATCATAGAATCCTTAAGACTGGAAAAGACCTCCAAGCCATTAAGTCCAACCATCAGCCCATCCCCATCACACCCACTGACCACGTCCCTCAGTGCCACATCCACACAGCTCTTGAACACCTCCAGGGATGGTGATTGCACCACCTCCCTGGGCAACCCGTGCCAGTGCAGCACCACTCTTCCTGAGAAGAAGTTTTTTGTAATATCCAACCTGAACTTCCTCTGGAACAACCTTAGGCCATTACCTCTCATGCTGTCACTGCTACCTACCCACCTCACCACAACCTCCTTTCAGGCAGTTGTAGAGTGATACGGTCTCCCCTGAGCTTCATGTACTTATGATCACTCACAGATGACACCACAGTTAACTCTATAAAGCATCTTTTAAACAGACTGGTTATGATTGCTGGTAGCAGTGAATACTAGCAAGCATATTGTACTGAATCCTGATTAGAGGGAACAATTTTAGGGACATGGCAGTGTAATTTTTAAGGCTCAATCAACAAGTGAGAGTCATATCAAATGAACAACATGCAAAGCCTGATGCTTCATCTTAATTGACCTGAAAGATAAAGAATGCGATATTATGGAATCGTTTATGGGAAAGAGGGAACTTGTCTCCCAGACAGCACACTTCAGGTTTATATAGAAGCTTCTGTTTGAGAACATCTAACTTAAAAGGCTAAGTCCCTTCTTACAACCTACTTGAAAACCTCTGTGCATGAAACTGGCGCAATGGATGGGGATGATTTGTATTGCCATTTGATATCAGCAACATCCATTTGGAGCTGGTGGAGTCTGTTCTAAGGCAAACATAAATATAGCTAATTGAACTCCTTACCTGGAGTAGATTTTTCTGTGTTATCAACCTTTTGTATTCTCTTCTCATGTGGTAACAGAGGTGTGACAGTTGGTTTTTTTCTCTGAGTCACTGGTTGTTTGCCCTAGGGTAAGAGAATAAGATGCACAGCATACGCAAGAAGTTCACAGAGCCCCACAACAATTCTCCCAATTGCTGAAGCAGTGTTAGAAAAGGACAAGTGCACCTGCTCCCATCAGGATGCTGCTTTTAAGCCTAAAAAGCACAACAACATTTGTCTGTGTTATTATTTTTAATAAAACAAAAGAGGAGCTCACTTAAAGACACCGCCAACTAGCTCTGTTTTTCTGGTTCCCCAAAGATGCTTAGACCTTTCGTCTTGTGTCTTGCATTTAGGAAGCTTACCAACTTCCCTGGAACCTTAGGTTAAATATTAAAACAGGTTTTACTCAACCTAAAGTACAATTTGGCAGATCTGTCTCAAGGACAACACAAGTGTGAACATGTTTGCTTACCAGAGGCTGTTTGGTGATCTTGGCGGCAATGGCGCGGCGAGTAGCTTGTTCTTCACAAAATTTGATGTGCTTTGCTGCTGCAGCCTCGTTGAATCTTCTCAAGCAGAATGGACACTGAATATAGTCTGATCATAGGAAAGGAACAGCTGGTGTCACAGCTGTTACGGCACAAGAAAGGATTTGCCTTACTTCACTGAAGTACCCAAGATGGCTCCATCAGCTGGTGATCACAGTGAGCTCCCATCAGCTCTTAATGTCTCAAAAATGCCAAATTAGAAAATTAGGAGAATTACAAGAAAAGCACTTAGGATCCTAAAACACATGCTTATGGGATTAACTCAGCAAATTGCTACCAGAAGGAAATCCCTGGGCATTAATAAAAGCAAATTAAAATATCTTTGACCTAGGCCCTCTCTCTCAAAATTTCATTAAAAAAATCTGCAGTGAAAGCAATATTTAGAAATTCCTTGAAGAGTCAAAAAACATTTCAAGACTAGTTTTTAAGTGTGGCCATCAACATTCTCATTTATTTTAGTGAAATGCATTTCCTTTGGACACTGCTTAAAATATTGCTTAAGAGGCTGCCCCAGTCAGCTAAGGGGTACTAAACAGCCAGGTTTCTAGGTGTGAAGTAGTACTGTGAAGAACACACAGTAGTGCTTCCTAGAGTTGCTTCTGGCAGTGTTATAAGCTCTGATTCCCCATTGCAGTTAGCACTGGTGCAGCCCTACTCCTCTCATTAAATGGTCCGTGCTCAGGGTCAGCATTCTTTCAGCTCAACACAGTCGTGCTCTGCCCAACCACTGCACTTATCAATCTCAGACTCCCAGCAGTGGGAACTGGTGCACCAAGGTTTGCAATCTATCTGGAGAAGGAAGAGAGGGAATGGGAACCTCTCTCCTCCCCACATTACATGCTCTTTCTCTCCAGCCCTGAGCTACTGGGTATGCATTCCCACCATGCCCCTCAACAATTGGCCTTTCCCCAGTTCCTTTCTCCACAACTCCCCCAGCTCTTGCATAAATCCAGTTACCCAAAGAGAGAGAAGGAAAAGAAGGGGTTTGCTCTTAGAGCTGGTGGAGTCAGATGAGAAATAATAGAGTAATTAAGGTACTCAGCAGTGGAAGTTCAGAGAAGAGCTTGACCCCAATTAGGGAGAGAAAACACGTCCATGCTTATACTGCATTGCTGACATCTAGAAGAGGAAGAAGACTGCAGTCCTCACAGCTGGTTTTGGTATCAGTCACGAACTCCTAGTCTGCACGGGAGCTGCGAGAGCCCTCCCTCCTCCTTCCCTCCCTCTTCCTTTATGGCTCAGGAGGGACTCTGCAGATACCCTTTCCAAGATTGCTCCTACATTTCATAAATCATCTATTATGAGGAATATTGGCTGTACATTTCTGGATCTGTAACTTCTAACACGGTGAGCTCTGGGTACAGACCACACCTGCTATCAGAAGTCAAAGCAGTCACGTTTTCTAAATGACTTCCCCTAATGGCACAGCTGGGGTGGGGAAGTGGATAGTGGAAAAGCTATCACAAGGTAGCAGGAAGCCTATATGCACTACATCCGGTCTGAGTGGTGAGTCTGAGTGTGTGTTGCACTTTGTCACACAATGGTACCATTTGCAGTATACAGGCATCCCAGCTCTCCTCCCAAAGCACTGACGCCTGGCTCCAAACCTGCCACTTTTATAAGCCACAAAGGTTCACCTATCTTTCTCTTTCTCCCCACTTCCTCTTCACTGCACTGTTCCTCAAGCCAAGAAACACAGAAAAAAAGAAAAAAAAAAAAGAGTATGGAAAGAATCAGAGTTCACATGGTGTTGTGCAGCGAGGTACAAAACTGAAATCCAGCTGTACATAATAAGAGCTCATCGCTTTGCTAGAAATCAGTACAAGATCAAGAATGCGATAAACTGAGCCACAAACCTGGATTGATGCTTGGTGGGGGAGGAGGAGGAAGAGGACGACCTTCTTGCATAGCTTTCGTCACTTGTTTGGCTGACTGAATGGCATTAATAAAATCTGCATGGTGCTGCCTCCAGTTAGATTTCTTCACCGGCTGATTCTGCAAAGGAAATTAAGGAAGACACAAACTTCCTGTGAGGGACAGAGAAATGTCTTCAAGTGAGGGTTCTCCCTTTCCAAGAGAAATATTACCAACAAAATAAACTTTCTTTTTTTTTTTTGAAAGGCACAGGAAAGCTGAAGTAGCCTTCTGACACCTATTAACAACAGCAGCAAATAGATAAGGAAACAAAACACTCCAACAAGAACACTCTGGTTGTGGCAGATCAAAGGGTGCGTAAGAGGGAATGGAAAAGACAACATGATCACCATCATTTTCAGTGATTTGGTATATCTGGGTAAAAACTATACACATACGCATGTCTTCCCATCCTCATCATCATCATTACACAACCTTGAAGAAAAGGCTGCAGGAAACTTGCACAGTACTTAGAATACACAAAGGGACATTTCCCAGAAAAGCAGAGACACTTGGTGCCTGGAGTAGTCACGGTATCTGCAGGTTTGGCTTCTGGACTGAGAAATATTCTCCCATACCAGCAGCACACAGAGTGGGGAGAAAAGAACTTGGCACTGAGTCAAGAACATATGAAAGAATCGCAACATCCAGGCTTTGTCCTGGGAGGAAACAATCACCTTACCAAATGAAAGACTTCAAACAGAGATAATATGTGCCCCAACGTTAGCCATACCTTCAGCAGGGGCTGCCTCTTCACAGTTCCGATATCAGTTCCCTGCACCCTCTGTTTAAAAGAATTGAAGGGCTTGCGCTTCTTGTTGAAGACTTTCTTGCAAATGGGCTCATGCCTCATCTGGGACGCAAAGAAAAATCATTGCTTATGGGCTATATCATGCTTTGTTAACGATGCTTTAATATTCATTAAATTCAGGCTTTAATATTACTTGTATTCGAGAGTAGGGAGCTGAAGCAGTATTTTTCTCCAGGTTCAGTTTCACTCCTCAAAGAGTTCATCAGAACTTAAAAAAAAAAAAGCTGCGTACAGCTGCACTTTCACATGCCCAGAGACACACTGGAGGACAGCAGGGAAAAACACATGCAGAGAATCACAGGTTGGGGCTGCTCGCAATCCCAGTCTCACTGGACTCTTTCCTTGGCTCCGCCACATTCAGCTTCCTTTCTTTCTTGGTTTAGAGGGAGAACAGACTGCTCCTGTTCAAAGGGCTGATGTTTACATTATTAGTCCATTGAGTTTAGATAAGTATTCCAGACTCAGTGCTCCACTGGCAAACAACAGCCCCGTTCATCCCATCAGCACAGCCAGAGCAGTGACAGCCTCGGGCTGAAAGGGAGCAGCTGTGTAACAGCTCGCAGTAACCTGACAGCTCAGAGCGAAGAGAATCATCTGTGGCTGAAAGCACACGGAGCTCCTAAGTAGAGATAACCAGGGTTCAATGCATGGGAGACATACACCACGCAACAAAGGAGGATTTAAGATTCAGAAGTGGCACAGCTTTCTAGCAACAACCTGACCCACCTGCAAGAGCATGCCCGATTTTCTCTTTATGAGAAACGCAGTGAGAGTGAGGACACAACTACATCCTTACTCCAGTGCTGTGGATCACACACATCTGAGACATCTGCAGCCAGACCATTACAGACTCCATTCCCACTCTTCTTTTCTTATCCTTTCCCATCCCTCAGTTATTCATCTTCTCACTAATTTACCTTTGCTGTCCCCTCACTCACTTTTCTCTTCCCTGTGTTGTTTGAGTTACACCACCATCTGATCCAGGCATGTCAGCATCAGCTCTGCTGGGCCACGAATTTCCTTCTTTTACCACAACACACCTTTCTAAATTCTCATTTCCCTTTGAGCCTTTCTACTCACGTGCTTCAAGCCCTTCTGTTTCTAGCAATGTTTGACAGCAAACTCAAGACAATTCCCTGCAGGGCACACAGGATGCCAGATACATGGGTTTTGCTCACTGATGAGCACACCAGCCCATATCACCAAGAACAGAGGCATTGCAGGGTTTGTACCACATGTACCTAGCGATGAGAAACCTCCTGCCTTCCTGATCCCAAAACATACATAGCTGTCTAATCAAACAAATTTCATAGTATCACAGAACTGTAGGCGTTGGAAGGGACATCTGAAGATTTAGTCCAAAAAGCAGGTTCCCTCGGGCAGGTGGCAAATTTGATAGATCACACCATCATGTTGGTCACACATCTCTAAGATATCAAACACTGAACTGACAATTCCACATTTGTCTCAGCACTCGCAATTGCTTGGTTCTGCCATTTCCCATCCTTCCTCCCCCCCTGCCCCCCCTTTTTCTTTTCCTTTTGCTAGTTCGGTTTTCAGTTATACCACAGCACTGAACTGAGAGAAGGAGGGCTGCAGGCAGAGCCAACCCTTTCAGAAGAACTCTGCGGTTGTGTTGTTTTAGGCAAAGGGTGAAGCCACCCATTTAGTCTGTAATCCAGGGATCAGTGGGGTCAGCGGGAATCTTTTCATTCACTTCAGCAGGCTTTGGAACTGAGCCAGCTGCCTGCATTAGATTGTCAAAGGGACCACTTATCGGATGGTTTATTAGCCTGTTTCTCCCAGGAAGCCTAAAATAACCCTGTCTTGAAACACGGAGCACAAAGGAAACTTCAGGTTGCAGGATGTGACACAGGTCAGCGATTTGTGTCTCAACAGGAGAGAACACTTTATTTCAAACATGACACGGTTGAACCTAGGTGATCATTATGGTTCTTTTCAACCCAGGCTATTCTATGATTCTATGACATAGAGCAAGAATTAGCTATCAGAGAAGCAGACAAAGAAGGATAAACTGCAATCTTGTGCTAGGTCACAGTATTTTTACGAACATTCACCTATTCTCTAATCAGGTTTACTAAAGAAAGTAGTTTTTAGATCATTTGCTGTCCGACATATGTTCAACCCACCTCTCCTCCTTCCCCAGTGCCCACCCCTCTCAGATAAATGCACTGACATCCCCATTTAAAAGAAAAGCATAGTCTTACCAGAGCATCTTGTGCAAACTGTCTTCCACAGATTCTACAAGGAACCAAATCTTGACTCCTGGCAGCTGTATAAAAATTCAGACCAACAGTCTCAGTTATGCAGTACAGGAGTGCTGCACTTACACTACAACCAAAAGTCAGACCGAGCCCTTAATCTGCTGGAACGTTCTTTTGCTGCCAGAAAAGGACCTCTGCAGTCATGAGCCTTTTTTGCAGAACCAATTTATTTCTCTCACTCCCACAAAGCACGAGTTTTCCTTTACTCCAAGGGACACTTCTTGTTCTCCACATGCCTGCTAATAAGGCATCTCCTTTCATAATGACATAAGCGGGAGAGGAGAGGGGAAGAAGGAAGAGCACTCATTAAGTCATTGTGGCATCAATTCTGGGAGGAACATCAAGCACAAGTGATTTGCACCCAAACTTCTTTCATTTTCCATACCATCAAGTAATGGCAGCATAAGGCCTCACCATTCTGCAGGCCAGAAGGGATCACACCGAGTACGACAGCACCTTCATTCTTAAGACAGACTGTTGCCACAAATGTCATTTCTAGGGTAACATCTGTGTCCAACAAGACTGACTTCGCAGATGCAAACTGTTAGGGGGTTTTGCTTTTAAATCACCTTCTATCAAAAATAAGTTGAAGTTGCACAGAAGACAGTTCTATGACTCCAGTACCACTTAATTCTCATTTCAGTGCAGGGATGTTTCTTGCATTAAGCAAAAACAGCTTTCAGAAATATTTGAACATAACAAAGAGCCCTTTTCACAAGACTTGTAATCTACAGAGGGAAAGACATCTCTGTTTAAGCATTCCTTACCTGCTTTGGCTGAAACAAAAGGAGTCTTTGTATTGCTGAGCAGGAGCAGATGTGGAACTGCTTTTGTTACCTCTTCACTCAGATATTACCACACTCCAAGGCACAGAGAAAAGTTACTACAGTATTTCACCGATTAGAGGAACAAAAGCAATTCTGTAACTTCTCACTCTCTTTCTATCAGCTGTTTAAACTACACTTCACTTTTGTTTCCAAGAAACACCTTTCTGCATGTCTGTGCTTACTCTAAATTATACTCTTTCAAGTGTCCCCTTCTTCCTGTCCCATCTCCTCTTGTTTGCATCCCCTCAAAGTTTCGACCAATACAACCTCTTTCAAAGATGGTCATTCAATCAGCAGTGGGAAGACAGGACAAATGACTGCATATTACACAGGACAGGTGACTTTAAACATATTTAGTGACAGGTAAAGACTGACAAAGAACACAAGCACTGCCTTGCGTAAATTATTTATAGTAAAACACAAAATTACATTCCACACAAACCACTGAAGTGTCTGTTACTCACTTGTTTCATTTAGCTCCTGTGCTGGTATCTGGCTCATCTTAATTTCTCAAATTTACTCTTCAGTGCTGTTGTCAGGAGCTCTAGGTGGTCAGCATTCATCAGTCAGAAGGCCAAAGTTTATAGCAGCCCAAGTTACCATGTGTCACAGTTAACAATTATGACACAAGCAGACCCCGCTTAAGCATGTGAAGCACATGAAAACCAGTACAGATACAAGCTAAATGAAAACTCCCAAACTTTTTCTAATTTAACAGTTGATTTCTATTTCTTTAACATAAATCTTGAGCAAAACTATAGTATGTTTAATCTTAACGTGAATGCTGTATTCAGACTTTGGCTTTCTAAGCAGCAATGAAGAAACTTTTGGACATAGCTGTTCATTCAATTATCCTAAAACTCACTACTTTATCAAAATACACTGCAAAAGCTTGTTCTCCCCAGTATAAGCAAGTATTAAGCCCTCCTGTTATCTTGTCTCCACCTAGTGTTCATATAAAAGAGGAACATTCCAGACCCTTGTAGTAGTCAGTCCACTCTACTGTTTTGGTTTCTCTGTTCCAGCATAACAGGCTGCCTTCTCACTCAGAGGCAAATGCTCAGCTCTAAAAATCAAGGGTTGATGTATTCACGAGTACAGGAAGTTTCAGAAGGGCTGACTGCAGATCTCATTCCTTTATTCATGGGTACAGACTGGTCACCAGAATAATTCTTATGTACAGTACAGTAATTTAAGATCACAATAAGTCTGCAGTAAAGGCTTTCTGCTCACCTTCAAAAAGCCTTTGCAACAATTTTGTTAGGTCATAAGCCTGTATTTCAGTGAAAGCAAACTAAATGCAAGATGAAGAACAGTATTTCAGGAAAATCCAGACAATGGCTATTTGCCACCTGCACCACAGCTTTCTCAGTATCTACTGTTTGTTACACAATGATTGCCATGTTGACTACTTGAAGCAAAGTTGCTTTAAACAGCAACAATAAGAGACACCTACTACTGCCTTTGCAATACTTCTCGCAACAAGTAAAACATTAAATCTTAAGATGGCCTGGGTTGAAAAGGACCGTAAGATCATCTAGTTTCAACCTCCCTGCTGTGTGCAGGGCCGCCACCACCAGACCAGGCTGCCCAGAGCCACATCCAGCCTGACTCTGAATGCCTCCAGGATGGGGCATCCACAACCTCCTTGGGCAACCTGTCCCAGCGCCTCACCACCCTGTGTGTGAAAAACTTCCTCCTAATATCCGACCTAAACCTAACTCATCTTAGTAAGAGGGATGCTCAGCTACACAATAGCTTTTTAGACTCCTCTGCTTACAAAAAGTTTATCCAAACAATAAATAATCAATCCCTGAAAGAACTAAGGAATGGGTGAAACTCATTCATTTCCAAAACTCTGCTCTGTCAAGGCACTATATTTAACAGCCAATGTAAGGGAGAGATAAGTGGATACAGTGCTCTGTACAGACTCAAATATTTTAATGGAAGAATCAGATCAAATCTGCAGGATTTTTCTGAAGTGCTGAATGCATTCAACACGTGACACTTTCTCCTCAGTGACAGTTTATAAGAAAAATATATTTTAAAATTTTAATACATTTCTAGGGTAACAAAAGTTTGCAGCAGTTGCCGTGACATTTGACACACGACAAGAGAGACATTAATTCACTATTTAAGGTATAACTTCAGAAGAATGACAAGCCAGATACTGCTGTACCAAATACCATTAGCCCCCTTTGTGCATGCCTGGCAAATCTTATCAGTTAGCAATTCCTTCTCAGTACAGATGAAATCAATGTTTCCACAATGAAAGTTCCTGAATTTCAAGACAGCTTCAGCCCTTGCATGTTTTGTTTCAGATTGAGCAACTCTTTTTCTTGCCTTGTTTTCTCCAATTTGAAGGCCATCTTGTTGGCTTTCTTCTCCATTCTGCGTTCCTGTGCATATGAACAATTACAAATTTATGAAATAGAAAACCACTGCAACTAATGTTTATGGATCATGAAAAGAGAAGTCATAATTGTCTTGCTTCCAGCATTAACTCTTGTACAACACTTACATCTGATAATCCAGAATTATCATCTTTAATTAGCTGAAACTCCTCACAAGCTGATAAGTTCTGGTGCTAATTAAAACCACTAATTATCAGTGTGTCCAAGTAGGTTTTCCATGTTTATTTTGGAGACTTTTTACTTTGTATGATTTGAAATTCTGTTACTGTTCTCCTTGCTTCCCTAGGTAATACTGAAATACAAATTCCCCTTTAAGTTACACAACCAACAGCACCCACGAGAACACCCAGGACTTCCATATAGGAGTCCCGTGAGAACTTCCATAATGCTAGCTTTCTTTCTATTATTAAGTACTAATAATCATTCCTTTCAGACCAGAAAGCTTTGCCATTAATTTCTAAACACAAAATTAAAGGGGTTTCAAAAGGTTCCTACAACTCAAAGAATTCCAGAATAAAGCTGTTGGTTTTCTGGGCTTTATTTAAAACAAGGCCTACCTTCCGCTCCTCTTTTACTGCCTGCTTCCTGGCTTTGCGGTCCTCTTTGCTCTCATCTTTGGAGCGGGGCTGTGTGGATGCTCTTGGCAGGTCACTGTCATTAATCATTTGCATGCGTTCCACCTGCTTAGCAGTAAGACCTTTCTGAGGCAGGACGTGCAGAGGAATTCCAGTCTTTGAGGAAATTTTTATTGGTTTTGGCTACAACAGACAGTGCACATGTGTGAATGGTCTCTGGCTTCCCCTCCAGGAAGTGCAGATTGCAGTGCCTTATCTGCACAGAATAAAACTAGCAGATTCAGATGGAACGGTAACAAACGTTCTTATACATATTCTTCCCTCAGAAAGATGCACATTAATCTCAGAGTGAAATCAAACACCTGTAAGCAGAATAAGTCCCCTAGAACAACAAAAATGCTTTCTCCTTTCATTTAATATTACTGAAAAATGGACTTAAGCAGGCTCTCAATATTGCCTTCATAAGGCTTCAACAAAAAGCTTTTCCTTTAAAACCATGCGCACCTGGCACATCAAGCTCTGCTCTACTTCTCATGAGGAACTTCTAGAAGGCCAAAGAACTGGAGTACATCACCTCAAACAGTAAAATGTCAACTAAATCCGTTCTCAAAAGAAATCTCCTCTATCAGGTTGCAAGATGTAGATTAAAAGAAGCTGTATTGAGAGAAGAGAGTGAGGAATTTGTTTTCTTGTTAAGTTTCTGCTTAGCTATTATAGAAATTCTGAGCATCTAGTGATTTCATCAGTCAAATCTTACTCGATTTTCCTTCTAATATAAGTAAAGACGTGTGTGTATTTTTACCTTTATAAATATCTCTACATATCCAAACCCTTCTCTGGTAAAGCTGTAGGCTAATACCCTTCTCAACTTTTTTTTCTGCTTACATCTACTTTTAAACAGTCATCCACTGAGACAACAATCACTTTTCTCTCAAGTTCTCCTAAATCACAGTGTTACTTTGAATAATTTTAATGCTTTTACCTTTGATGGCTCCTCGATAAGCTTTGGGTGATTATACAAGTTTGAATATGTACCTGGGTTACACAGATAAAAAAAAAATAGTGAGGAAAAAACTTGCAAATAAAAATTAAATACATTTACTATGAATCATAGTACTAGTCTTTGAATAGAGAAAATTGCAAGAATTAAGTAATCTCCAGAAAGGGAGTACTTTTATCTTGCAATAATTCCTAACGTTATGCTTCAGAAGCATAAACCTAGAAGTACAGCTAGAAAAGTGCCAAGATCACCTCTCATTTACTTTGAGGTACTAAGAATGAATAAGAACTCCAAATACTTACTCAAAATTGATTCACAATCCCACTTTTCTTTTGGTTCCTCGATAACCAGAGCTACTCTTTCTTCTTTCTCTTCATCACTGTCTTCACTTGCAGGAGTGTCTTCAAACGGTTCGAGAGCATCCAATTTCACACAACTTCAAAGAAAAAAAGGTTCACCATTTCTTGGAAATACTTACTTATGTAAAACAAATCTCCCCTCAGTAAAATCCTAAGCCAAAAAAACCTGCTCCCACTACAACCTGCTACAAGAATAAGCATCGCCACTTATAAACTAAAGCTTGAGTGCCAGAGACAGATTAGAAAGTGATTATTTCTGTATCTCAAAAGCATCTGACACACAATATTGGTGACTGGAGGACAGGAAGAGAATACACTTCTTGGCATGTAAGCACTAGAGGTGATTATATACTCTCCTACTGACCATTTACTTCACAAGGGACATTTTACATCTTCCAACCAGGAAACAGAAGGCTGATGGGTGGATACCTAGACACTTAACTCTAAGATAATATCACTTGTTTTAAGAGGAAGAGAATACACTCTGTAAATTCAGTACATTGGTGTGGAGCTGCCTTATGAGTTCTGATTTTGGTCATGCTCCAGTTGCACAGTGGCAACAGTTTCCCTTCAGTTTATAATCACATAACTAGGTATACAGTGTTTCACTGCTGGTACTCAGCTCATTCCAATCTCCTTGGCTATGGAGTCTGTTAAAAACAAATTTAAATTCTATGGAGCAATTTAAGTTGCCCTAAGAAGGGAAAGGAAGAACACCCCTGGACATTACTTAGACTAGATATAATAAAATTATAAAAAGAATATAATATGGTATAAAGCAGCAAAATGCCTGCATTTAATCTTAATCACGTCCTAACAAGATGGACATTCAGTCACACAAAGAAGGGAGAGTGCTCCAATCAAGCTGTTTTTATTGTGAGATGTAATCTGCAAGTCCATGAACTGGAAATAACATACTCAAACTTTTGGCACAAAGGCATGGTGACATAACTACGTATGTGTAGCAGTGTATCTGAGTACCTACTTCTTTGCTTTCTCTTTGTAGAAATCGCTCAAGACTTCCTCCAACCGAGCGTTGTCTGTGTTAATATAGCCTTCTAATTCCACGTTATCCAAGGCTCCAATTTCATCTTCATCAAACTGTTCAAAAAACTAAATAAAAAGTGGGTATCTTAATTAGATCACGCTTGTTGAACAAGTCCATGACAGCATAGAGCTTTATCCATCTCCTCCTATTTGCTCCTCTTTCTGCTTCCTTCTCAGTTGCTGAAAAACTGCCCCACACACCTGTGGTAGGATTACCTCCTTACTGACAATATAAAAAATGTTGAGTCTTCACTTCAATCTAGTACACTAAAAAGCTTATCACTGCTCGGGACAAATATTAGCCCACATCTCCACTGTTCTGGCATGATTTCCTCCATGTATACTTGGCATAGTGTGGAGAAGGGGCGAAAGAATCAAGTCTGTATAAGAAAGCTTTACATGACTTACTGGGTAGGACGGAGCTTCCTGGAGAAGCGTTACACCAACCATGAATATCCATTGTCTTCACTGGAATAATTTCACTAAACAATATCAATCAGTTAACACTGTAGCCTATTAAACACAACGTGCTTAGTGCACACAGCATTACATGCTGAGTGTGTGCAGGTAACAGCTGCTTGGTGCCCTAACTACCAAAGGCAGGAGGAATTTGCACAGACATACAGGACAGCACCTTATGAGATGAACCAAAGAAGCATTTAGCACCTTTCTGTGTGAGGGTCACATTCTCAAATCTTACCTTCTCAAATCTGTCATCCAAGAGGGTTAACTGCTCATTCCTTCTCATTACTGAAGATGTCATAGAATATTCTGTGAAACGACTCCTGGTTTCTTCCTGCATAAACAGGAACTCTCTTCCCTGGTCATTAACCCCATCATTTGACAAAGGGCCTTCTGAATCATAATCTTCATCGTTACTGCAACTATCCTTTTCATCACTATCATCCTCCACATCTTCCCATTCATCTTCATCCTCAGCATCTGATCTCCTAAACGGAATTACAAAACAGATTAGAACAACCCACAGATATTTCCACAGCTCTGCTCAACGTTGCATTCTCTGACACAATTGCCTAAAAACTAGAAATTATTCTGACAGCAGTTGGATCACACATCTCCACACTGACAGCAAGGATATGTTTACATTCTGCTCTTTTTGTCAAGGTGGAAACATACCAGACTCTTAAATAGGAAATGTGGTAAAACTTATCACTGCTTGTTACCTTTGATATCATTTTACAAAACAGAAGGAAATAATATGCACTGTGGTAACACGCATTTCCAAGACCTTCAGAAATGCTTCACAAGTATTGTTATTGATCAATATTAATTTGTGGGCTCAAGGTAGCAAACAAAACCCATCTCTTGTCTTGGATAATCACGTAATTTTGATCTTTTTTAAGCTACCACCCACATAACACACAGTGATACTTACTTCCTTCGACATAAATGTATTAAGCCTGAAATGTGAAACCACTCTTGCTTCCTACAACACGTGAAATAACAAACAGTAACATTACTATTCATTTGTGACAGAAGCAGTTCCACAAAGTATGTATGTACCCTTCCTTTAGTTTGTTTGCTTGTAGAACAAAATCATCTTCCAGAACATTTTCTGGATTATCAAAGTCAAAATCATCATCAAGAGCTGCAACAATATCAGGGTCAAAATCCAGCCGTGGTCCTGGAGAATAGAAAAGAAAAAACTTAAGTATGAAAGCTGCTGCAACATCCTGAAGCTTGAACATTCCTTGATAAAAAAGCAATTCAATTTGACTAGCAAAATATTAAACTTAAAGTCACAAGTTTCCTCCAGTAACATTTGTAGACTTCATACAAATTAACCAGTAAGCCATCAGCCTTTTATCCATTTTCTTCATTTAGAAAAGAAGATTCCCCAAGACGTCATAGGCACCCAAAAGTGTATTTTAATGTCTTAACATGCTGCTTAGAACATTACTTGATAGAACAAGGGGAAATGGTCTCAAGCTCAAAGAGATTTAAGTTAGATATAAGGAAAAAAACTTCTACAGCGAGGGTGGTGAGGCATTGGAACAAGTTGCCCAGAGAGGTGGTGGATGCCCCATCCTGGAGACTCTCAGGTTGAGGCAGGATCAGGCCCTGGGCCACCTTGTGTAGCTGAGGCGTGCCTGTTCATTGCAGGGGAGTTGCACTATATGGCCCTCAGAGGTCCTTTCCAACTCTAAGGACTCTATGATTCCGATTACAGAACAGAGATGACCCAAGTTACAGTACTGCACCATCAACTGCCAAGAAAAGCTCTCAGCCCCTAACACTTACCACACTGCATCAGAGAAACCTTTTGTAACTAGAAGTGTCTCCAGTACCCTGCTGTCTAAATTATCAACACTAAGTACTATTACAAAAAACAACAACCTAAGATTACTTGAAAGTGAATGTTTAGTACAATACAAACATAGGTACATAAAGAGCATTCCTTTAAGCCTGTAACACTGAATTTCAGCTGATGAAGGAAAGTAAATGTATTTCAGCAATTGAAAAGAGGAATTTTGAGAATGAAAATCCAGTTACACACCTTGCATTCGAACTGATGGAAGTCATAAATCAATAGCATTACCTACAGAATATTGTTTATAGTGAAAGAAACTTTTCCCTGTTATTATTTCATATGTGCTGGATAATAGTAGTAATGCGTGGCCTTTTTCCACCGCCTATGCAATGCTTAAAAGCAATTATTACAGACTGACAGAAGCAGGTCTTGAATGGAAACACAGGTTTGGTATAGATCATCCTTTACACCTGCTCTTAAATCTGTTCTTAAACAAACAAACAAACAAAAAAAACAAAAAACCAACTAAACTACTGCTTTGATTACAGTGTCATTAATTACTGAGTACTACCTGCATGGCAACTTCTGCTACAGAAAGGTGCAAGACTTTATGGTACCTGAAACAGGAGCTGCTTTATTTAGCAGGCCCACGTCCTCTTCAAATTCAGAAGCAAATACTGAGGAAGGCAATTTAATAGATGGAGCCTAAAACAAATAAACACAAAAACAAAATGTTACAAGCGGCTGATGGGCAACTGCATACTTCATTGTTTGAAATGACTCAATGATTTTCCATTCCAACATGATCCAGTGCCATGAAATTCTAGAAGTTATGTCAGCAGCTAAAAACATCTGTATCTCTCTATCAGCAAAAATACTACTTACAGCAATTCGTTGAATTTCATCCTCTATGCGACCCTCACTTGTGATGACAATTCTGCTTTGCTGTCCACAGAAAGAAGGGACAAGCTCAGAGGGGCCAGATGCTTCTTTCAAATGCTGCAAATAGTCATAGTCATCATCAAAAAAGACTCCGTATTTCCGCTGCTCCTCCCTTCTCTGCTCCTCGTGGTCCTTGGAATTTGTAAGAAAAAAAAATACAAGCAATTACTTAAGTCCATTTAAAACACAGCAAAAATAAAAGTAATGTATCCACTGACAATACCCAAACTCATAAAAACAAACAAAAAAAAAAACTCAAAAAAGACCAACAGCCAACTACCCCCCTGCTGAAAACAGCTTTTGGGAAAGCAACATTTTAAGAAATAGTAATAAAATTAGGCTCACTTAGCAACAACTAGTACCTAAATTAACTGCACCACTAACAAAGCACTCTACGTTTCGCAATTAGTTTTTAAAATTTGCAGCATTAAATACAAGTGCACACAATCAGAAGTGGTACTCTTCTTCAGTTTGGATCACATTACACCAACTCTACAGCAAATTGTACAGCCTTCTCTCTTCTCATTATTTTCACAGAATACAGAATGGCCAGGGTTGGAAGGGACCTCAAGGATCATGAATTTCCACCCCCCCCCGCCACATGCAGGGCCACCAACCTCCACATTCAGTACTAGACCAGGCTGCCCAGGGCCTCATCCAATCTGGCCTTGAACACCTCCAGGGACGGGGCATCCACAACCTCTCTGGGCAGCCTGTTCCAGCACCTCACCACTCACTCTAAAGAATTTCCCCTGATATCCAACCTAAATCTCTCCTCCCTCAACTTAAAACCATTTCCCCTTGTCCTGCAGTTATCAACCCTTTACAAAGAATTGATTCCCCTCCTGTTTGTAGGCTCCTTTTAGGTACTGAAAGGCTGCAGTGAGGTCACCCTGCAGCCTTCTTTTTTTTCTCCAGGCTGAACAAGTCCAGCTCCCTCAGCCTGTCTTCATAGGGGAGGTGCTCCTCCCCTCTGATCATCTTTGTGGCTCTCCTCTGGCCCCTCTCCAACAGCTCCCTGTCTTTTTTGTACTGGGGGCTCCACACTTGGACACAGTACTCCAGATGGGGCCTCACAAGAGCAGAGTAGAGGGGGACAATTACCTCCCTGTCCCTGCTGGCCACCCCTCTTTTGATGGAGCCCAGGATACCATTTGCCTTCCGAGCCGCAAGGGCACATTGCTGGCTCATGTTCAGTTTTTCATCTATCAAGACCCCCAGGTCCCTCTCCACAGGGCTGCTCTCAAGGACTGCTCCTTCCAGTCTGTGAATTTTAATAGTCAGTGTACTTTAATACATTGTAATATTAGGTTGCTGTCTGAGCAGACACTTAAAAAGCGTTTTCCATAAACAGCAAAACTAACATTTTTTTTCAGGATAGCTCAGAGAATAGCTTAAATTGAAGGAGATCTTAAAGATCATCCAGTTCCAAGCCTCTGCCGTGAGAAGGATTTCCCACCCACCAGCTCAGGCTGCCTGGGGCCCATCCAACCTGGCCTTGAGTGTCCCCAGGGATGGGGCACCACAGCTTCTCTGGACAGCCTGTGCTGGTGCCTCACCGCTCTCTGAGTAATGAATTTCCCCCTAATGCCTAAGCTAACTCTCCCCTTTTTTAGTTTAAAATCATTCCGCTTTGTCTTATCACTATTGGCATGTGTAAAAACTCAGTGTCTCTCCTGATGATCACAATGAGGTCCCCGCAAAGCCTTCTCTCCTCCAAGCTAAAGAAGCGCAGCTCCCTCAGTCTTTCTTCATAAAGGTGCTCCAGCCCTCTGACAGTTCTCATAGCCTTCCTCAGGTTCCACTCCCAACAGCTTGACATCTTTCTGGTGCCTAGATACAGTACTGCAGGTGGGAATTCAAGGTCAGAGTAGAGCAGGCAAAGGGTCAGTCAATCTTTGCTTGTTTTGCTGGTCCATAAGACCAGCTAGTCATCCTTAACTCATCAAGCAGTAACTCACAACTACCAAATTCCCTGCAGTGTCTCCTTCTTTTAAGTAAGTGTGACTACAAGCTATCTTCTCTCAGGCTCTGTTTTGGAATTGTGCCACTTTTCTCACCGTAGCTTCTGCCACGTGGACGAACCGCACATGACGAGCAGTGGCTTACCCTGTGGGCAGGCAGCAGGACCCTCTGCGGGGCGGAATCATCAGCAGCAAGGGGGTCCCTCTGGCTTCTGTGCACTAGGTGAAACGTTACCGCCTTCTTCTTCTCTATGAAGGGCTTCTTCTTCTTGTGAGGCTGCAAAGGGATACTTGGCGAGTAAGAACGGAAAGATTAAAAGCATCCGGAAAGAATCTTCTGCCCGGGCTCCTCCGCTGTACCCCGCGCACCCACACGGCAGCTGCCGCATACCCGAGGCTCTCCCAGATCCCACGGGATGCGCGTTACGCAGCCGCCGCCGCCTCCACCCCTCAGCGACCACCGCTCACCATGGCGTAACGCAGCCCCCGGCCCGCCGCCTCCGCGCACGCTCACACGCCCTGGCCTCACACGGCACGGCAGCGGCGTGCGTGCGGGGAGCAACCACTGGCCGCAGGGGGATGTCATGCGGCCGTCGCTCCGAAGGGAGCGTTTATTCTTCAGTAAGAATAACAACTAGCTTTCTTGCAATACGTTGCCACTTAAATCGAGAGGCTGGTTCCAGGAACGCATGTAGGGTATTTTCCTGCCACCCCGCGGGACACATCTTTCTCTTCGTCCCTCACACAGGGAGAATGGTCCCTCCCTCCCGCGATGGCGGGGCGGCCATAGGGCACGGCGCACGCGCAGTTACGGGCTGCCCTGGCAGTGCGGGGCGGGGCCAGCTGCCGCCCTGGCGGCGGTCGTGTTTGAGTTGAGGTAGCAACGAAAGGAAAGGCCGTTCTTGGAAATCGGGACAGAATTGTTTTTAAAACAACTGTTTCACCTATGTGTGCCACCGCGTACTTTTGAATGTATCCGTGCATGCCTGACAACCGTCTGGGCTCCCGTTGGCGCGCCGCTCCCTGCACGTCGCTAGGTGTCCCCAGCGCCCTGTCGGGAATCACGGAATCATAGGATCACCGAGGTTGGAAAAGACCTCCAAGGTCGCCCAGTCCAACAGTCCGCCTGTCAGCAATATGTCCCACTTCAACCGCGTCCCTCAGTACAACACCTAAATGTTTCTTGAACGCCTCCAGGGTTGGTGACTCCGCCACCTCGCTGTGCAGTCCATTCCACTGCCTGACCGCTCTTTCAGAGAGGAATTATTTCCTAGTGTCCAACCTGAATCCCCGCGGCTCAACTTGAGGCCATTCCCTCTAGTCCTGCCGACAGCGGTAGGGGAGAAGAGGCTGACTCCCAGCAGATCCATGCTGCCAGCTTTTGTCTTTGTTCCTGCAAAGCACGCACTTTTGAAGGTAAACTCAGAACACCCTTGGAGGCGCTCGAGCCGGGATGGATGGGCCCTGGGCAGCCTGATCCAGGGCGGGCAGGCCAGGAGAGGGATTGGAGCAGGGTGGACTGTGAGGTCCCTTCCAACCCAACCCAACTGTGGTTCTGTGACTCGATTCAAAGGAAGGTTTCAGGAACTTCATTTCACTTTCCTTCATTTCATTTCCACACAGAATGACTTCTAACCTCTGCAGACAGCTTTCCAACAAGTAACAGCTCTCTAACTCCACTACATATGCCCATTTACTTGCTAGGGAGTCAAGAACAGAATATTGTCTGTTAAGATTTTCTGAACAATTTTATTGAGGTTATTTCCTTTATTTTGTATTTATATATATTTATATATACATTCACATGTATCTGTAATGGAAAGAGCTAAACATTTGTCTAAGGCACTTGGAACTGTGCACAGCAGAGTATCCTACAGTACTGTACAACTAGGCAGCACACATTTTTTGCTTGTTAAATAAAAACACCATAGAACAAGCATATATATGACCTCTGTGAAAAATACATAATACATGTTCTATTTTTTCAGATGACAGTATCAGAATAAATTTGTGTGTGTGTATAGTTATATGCTACAGTACCGAAGCTGTAATTAATTCATAGCTTTTCCAGTTATTTACATTCACAGATATCAATACAAGTGTGCAACATCAGACATTTCTAGCCATGTCTTTATAGTTATCATATTTGATCATTAATGTCACACTGCTAAAACACAACTAAATGCATTCAGTTTTTAATTATACAAAATGCTCACTGCATAATGCTCAGCACTGAGCAGTGCCCTGTCCCTAGTCAACCTCAGCTCTGCCACAGAAAACAGAAGTTCTTTGAAGTTTCTTGACTGAGGTACAGTTGGGTCTATGAAACAGGGCATATTAACACTGCCATTATTTATTCAGAGTAAAAGTGGTTGGACACAATATCCTTTATAGGCCCAATCCAACTGGACCTATTCCATTCCATTCCGTTCTGTTCTTTGAGTGATTGCTCTATAAAAAAATGGAAAGGAATAGCAACTTGTTCCATCTCCACACCCTTCCCACCTCTACTCACACAAAAGTCCGCTGAAACAATCTATTGATATCTTGTTTTGTTTAAGAGCATACCAGCTAAAACAATTCTCCAAAATACAGTATTTCTTTAATCCCAAAATTGATACAAGTCTACAAATCAGTATGCCACCACACAAAGTAGTGAAAGGAAGACAAGATATGTTCAGCAACATTTTACTGTATCATAACAATGATCAAATATGGTTAAATTTGACATAGTTTTGCAAGACTTTTTATATAAAGAATTAGGGATTGAACAAGAACATACTGAGAATACCATTAATTTCTTTGTTCCTATCCAATGCAATATTTAGCTTCTAGAAAACAATGAAATATTGGTGAAATGCTGTATCTAGTCCACATACGCTCTGTTTCCAATAAAATCTTGAAACAAGATGGGAGCACTGACAAAATGCATCAAGACCTTACTAATGATTACATTTAATAACTAGAAACCTGTCAAAACATTACAGTGAAACACGTTTTTACTCAATTCCTCCCTTTTTTCTATATAGATAGATATCCTTTTTTTTCAGATTTCTTTTAAACTGAAACTTTGATCTGTTCTGGGGAAGTTACTTTTTATTTTAGCCTCAAATCTAGATAATTTACTTGTCTTTTTATTTGATCCTCGGAATATCTAACATCAACCTACTAAACCTTTCAGCTTTTGGGGGTTTTTGTTCATCAAAAGCTAGATGCCAGCAGCAGGTATTGCACTGAGCTTTGCTGATAAAAATAACCACAATAATGGAGCTGAATGTGGGAGCTCCTAAAGCCAGGAGGAGAGTTTATTTTGTTTTTCACCCTGAGCACATCTATATTTCAGTTCACAGCAGCAGCACAGGCCTTGACTCCTTGAGATGCAAATAAAAAAGATGTAAAAGCAGTAAACAACAGAGTTCCGATACACTCAGCAGCGCAGATGTATGCGTTGAGCTTGGTTTACATTCCCATTTCATGCATTAGTGGGCATGTCAGGAGAGGGGTTCACACTGTCATCCCTGCTGGACACAAGCAGGGCCCAACCAGAGCGGTGCTGGAGTGCAGGCCTTGGGGCACCATGGCTGTCACAGGCCGTGTAGGCCTTTCCTTCAGCCCACGCCTGGGCTCCAGGTGGTTCCCGAGCAGCTGGATTGGATATGCAGTTTTAATCTTCTCTTCTTACAAGGATACAAATGGAGGCTCAGACCATGTTTATAAAAAGCTGCTGAAAGTACCGGCCCACAGCTCAGGGGCGGGGGGTGAAAGCCACTGCAGCAAGGGGCATGCAGAGCCATGTGCAAACACTAAATCCACCCATGGATGCAGCCTTGCAGACCTGCAAGAGGCTGTGAATGCACGCAGTCATTCAGAGGATGGCTTCTGGTCCTACACTGTTTCAAAACACTGCTTGTGAAATGTTTTTTGATTTAAATAATCACTGCCAGTTAGCTTTTTTTCTTTTTTTACTTTTTTTTTTTTTTTTAGTTTTTGATTCTACACACATCACATTTTGAGGAATTTCTCATTTGAAAGTGTAAGGATTAACATATATTGCCTGAAAGCAGAGAGGTGTTCTGGAACCATTCCAATTGGTTTTGTGAAGAATAAATTAGGATTTGCTTAAGCATCTGACCCCCATTACCCATACAGCAACACGCTGTCATGCGATAAACGTGGCCCAGAGGGTCAGTTCAGAAACCACCACTTCAGGCCACTGATTTTCTGCTGTGTGGATGTGGACATCTGAGTTGACATCTGACCTTGTGGACCATAGCTATGCATGCAAGGTTTCTCACATGCTCTAGATGATACTGAAATGAACTGTCCAACCTGACAGAAATTTACAGCTTGATCCCTTTTAGTCAGCTGCCCATTCTATGTATTGTATGGGAAGTATTATTCTTTCTTTGCCATTTTTAAATCTCCTTTTAATTTATTTCCACCAGGACTGCTCATTCAGGAGTTTCTCGGGGCTTATCCTGTTTTTTCCATGCTGACAGGCATGCAGAATCATGACGAGTTAAGTATACAACTGTCCAACAGGCTGTTATAGCAGCTTGAAGCTGTTGGAATCAGTACAGAGGACCAGCAGATGAGCAGGTAGGCAGGTAATAAGGTAAAGCAAACTTGCTTCACAGTGACATACCAAAATCTCATTTTTTTATTGCGTGGGTAACACTTTACAGCTGTTGCCATCCTCCCAGTTGATATTTAGAATATAAAAATAATATATACAATTCTAAGTCTGTGCGTGAGTACAATACACAATGGATAGTTTATAGTTCTGTTTCTCCAAATATACTACATTTTTACATAAGTCCCAATAAAGGCAACTCTTTTTGTCCAGTTACATACATTTGCTTCAGTAGCTAACTGAACCGCAGGCAAAAGAATGCATTTGATTATTTATCATGGAAGTATTAAGAAATTACACAAGAAGTGAAAGAACAGCTCAGCATCTCCACCCAGGCTAGTATTCTGTCTCCAGCAATGAGTCATAGAGAATACTTTAAAACAAGGCAAAACAAAACAACTAACAAAAACCAGGAGGAGAATTGGAAAACCTAAGAGATACCTCACCTACATATCCTCATGCCTTATGGCAAAATGCAGTTTGAGGAAGCCTGAGCCAGAAGTTGTATTCTCATCTTTGTGCCTTAGCTCTTAAGTAAGAAGGCAGCATGTTTCTCGCCGTTCATGTTCTCAGCCTGGTCTGGAGGAATGTCTTCTTGCAGAGTCACTTGGTTCTCTTCATCCTAAGAGCCTAATGAGTATTTGTTCACTTATGTAATCCTTACATACCCTGGCATGTCAATGGAACTGCTATGTTCTACAAAGTTTGCGTGGTCTGACCTGACCTTGGCCAAAGCTATTACACTCTGTACCCCAGCTGTATTTCTGCCGTGAGTATCTTGTGTACTTCCAACAGTTTGAAAGCGATTAAAGCGGTACTGAGGTGTAGTTAATTGTTCCACCTGTTTCCTTTGAAGTGAATATTGCGTTTCATTCTTCAAAGTCAACAGAGTAAACCTTTATAGGATTTTGGACACACATTTCCAAGTTTGGCAACAAAAAGAGGCCTTACGC